GAGTGGCGGCTGAGAGGCCGGCAAGTCAGGCGGGGGAACGTTGGAGTTCTCTGTCACTGAAGCAAGCAAGCCTCCCTGTTCGCATCAGCTACCTGGCTGCCGGCCGCCATCTTGGCTGCCAGTTAATTTGCATATCTTGGCCCTACTCTGTGAGTGACAGGGGGATTAGCCAATGGGAAGGGTAGCGGTCGTACGCCAATTACCATGTTTCTCTTTTATTAGTGTAGATAATTACAAGTGCCTTCTACATAAAAGGGTCTGGTGATAGACACAGTCCCTGCTTTTAGGGCAGCTCATAGTCAAGTGAGGAGAAAGGTACATAAATGACAATTTCAGAACAGTGGTAGAATATGCATAGGATGCTATGGGAACAAAGAGGTGAGCACACAAACAGGCGAGTTTGGAAGGTTTATAAGAAGAGCTGACAGCCTCGGGTGCTCTGAGGTGAGATCCTGGTGAAGTCTAAGTCGGAGGACATTCTAAGCAGAGGGGCGTGTCAGAGGCAAGAGGATGAGCTACATTGTGGCTGGTGCAGGTGATTGAGGTTGGGGCTTAGCAATTTGGCTTGATCCTACAACCTGGAATCTATGTTTTGCCTTTATTGGAGGGACTTGTCACTTGGGGGGTCTAGATTGTTTTAGGCATGTTAGGTACCATTGCCCTTGGCTTTGGTTATAAAAAGAGTTTCCTTGTTTAATTTTTAGTTCCCTGCTAGTCACTGATGAAATTTCACTTTTGTTTTGTGGCCGATGCTACTCAGTGGAGTGACGCTAACCACACAGACTTCGTTGACTCGGCCAGCACCATGCTGCACTACGCCGTTGCCTTTCTGAAGCCCACTAAGGTCTCAGCTCGCCAGCTGCCGCCAAGCGTAGCCAAGGTGGACGCCAAAAGCCGAGTACTGTTTCCCCTTGGGTTGGGACATGCTGCTGAGTACGTCCGGCCTCGGCTGGCGCTCATCGGGTAAGATAATGGCAGAGCAGAGCTATTCCCTTCTCACTCTGCTGCTGGAGGCCACACCTAAACTCTGCTTCATTCTCAGGGATGCAGCCCACAGAGTCCATCCCCTGGCAGGACAAGGTGTCAACATGGGCTTTGGGGATATCTCCAGCTTGGTCCATCACCTTAGAACTGCAGCCTTCGATGGGAAAGACTTGGGTAAGGATTCTGGTATCTTAAAGAAGTATCCAGGGGTCATGTAGTTAGAGAAAATCAGGACCCCTGAATGCCCCTCAGTAGCCAGATGTGGTGGACAGAAGTGTGTGCGCTTTTCTTGGAAACTTCACTATGGGATTAGATTAGGGTGTAACTTTCCTTTTTTCCTCCAGGCTCCATGAGCCACCTCACAGGTTATGAGACAGACCGACAACGTCACAACACTGCTCTTCTGGCCGCTACTGACCTGCTAAAAAGGCTCTATTCCACCAGTGCTACCCCTCTTGTGCTGCTCAGGACGTGGGGCTTGCAGGCCACAAATGCAGTATCTCCACTCAAAGTAAGAGGTCGCTCATGGCTCTCAGAGTCTTGGTCACCGAGGAATGACTTTGCCAATGACTTAAATTTGAATTAATTTTCTTGGCTGTAAAATTATCCTTCTTATCTTCTCCAATAATGAGCAAAAAAGACCTTGCTGGGCTTTTGGTGCTAGGGCCTATCTAAGCAGTAATTTTATACAGGATAAGGAAGGGCTTAAAATAGCAAGTAGGGGCTTTCAAAGATAAAGATGCTTCAACTCCTTTTGCTGCTTGGTCAGCTTTTTCTACTGAGAAACATCCATTGAAAGGCACTTTGGAGGGACTCTTGTGAAGAGCATCTATCTGGGACTTTTGCTGAGTTTTTGCTTTAATCACTTTGGATACTTGCAAGTATTTTCTTCACCCGCCCTCACAATGTCAGAGTATCACTCACTTTGTTTCATTTCTCTTTAGGAACAGATTATGGCCTTTGCAAGCAAATGAATGCTCCTCTTCTGCAGATTATATTGAAGAAAAATAAACATCTTTTCCCAAGGCCATCATACAGTTTCAAGATTTAATTTAATAAACTGTCTTTATATTAGCATTCTCTAGTTTCTTTTTCTCCTTTATTTAAGGGGTCTGTGGAACCCAAATAATGAGTGATAATTTGCTGTGGGGAGGGGTATATAAATCAAGCCAAGAAAAACCCCAAAGAAAGACTTACGATTTTTGTTGAAAATAACTTTTTATTACTAAAACAACTTAAGGTGCTATCTCATTCATTTTCACTTGTTAACAATCCTTTCTAAAGAGAAGATCTATAGTTTTTTTTAAATGCTGGTCATAAATCTATACAATTATCTTTTGATAAAGAAGAATTAAAAATATTCAATTGATGCATTTTTGTTAGAATTACTGTTTTAAAATTAAAAATAAATTGCTTTAACCTTTGTTGTAGGTGCACTGGACTTTCTAAAAAGAAAACCAAATCTGTTGCTCATTGTTACTTCCTTATCACAGCACCGGATCTCACTTTTCTTTATGGTTCCTCTCTGGGACACCACTGTCTGTTCAGTGACAAAACAATAAATAGTTTCATTGCACAGGTGTGAGAACTTCAGGAGCCAGGTCAAAGGGGATATCTGATTAGCAGCAGAATTTGTCATATTTGGTTGCGGACTGGTGGCTGATGGGTGTAGGGGTGCTGTGGGTGTTTGAAGAGCTCACTTCGCAGTACCAGAGATGCCTCTTGAAGAGATTTGGGGATCCATTAGATTTGTATACTGTAGAGAAAATTTTGTCCAAAAGTCTGATTTGTTGATGAAATGAGAAGAAAGAGTCTGCTTTTGAACCAAGCTAAACTATTCTGTTTAGTTTAGCTGAGTTACTGAAGGAATGAGAAAGATGTTTCTACAGGGGAGCTTTTCAGGCAAATGCAGAAAATTTATAAGATACTAGAGTAAAAAGTGATAGTGTCACAAATGTTCCTGGAATCTCTGGAAAGATGTGCCCAGAATGAAAGATGGCAACTACTGTGAAAGTTGTATGACTACTAGCAGAGTCCAGAAAGGTCACCACTGAATGGGGGGGGAGGGGGGGTCATCTTTCACAAAAATTGGAAAGGTAGCTCAGGAAAGAAGAACATGGACGCTCCAAAAGTATGCAAATAAAATCAGGCAAAATAGGAAGAATTTTAAGGCACATCTTACAAGGCCCTCCGTTACCACAGAGGATGTTCTTCATATGATGATGGTGAACACACAACATCCACTATGTGCCAGGCCAGGTCCTAAGTATTTGAAATACATAAACACATTTATAGAAAAGAAACTTAACCAGCAATATTAGCCACTATAGGATTCCTCAATAAGAGGCCCGAAAGGTACACTAAGGGGCAAAAGGACATTATAGACAAGTCATTTTTCTAAGAAATAAAAATTCTTATTCCATATTGCTCCTAACATGGATAAACTGGTTAATTCTCTCCTGATGTTCTAGTCAAGATTTTATCAGAATTTAGGTAGACACATTTCTGGAGTTAATGCATCTATCCAAGAGTTCTAGAGGTACTTGGGATGACCAAAGGAGTCTGAACAGCCTCTGTCCATAAGAAAATCTTCACAGACAAGCTATGACAAAGACCAGGGAATCTTGCCTCTCTCAACCGTCAAACTGGTGGAGTCTTCAGTGAACACAGCTTACCTCTTGGGGAAAACACTTGGTTTCTACTAGAGAAACTGGTCTCTCCCTAATCATGTGGAACAACATTTAGTGTATGACTGGTTCTAGCACTCAACCTGTGTGACAAAAATGGTAAGGGGTCCAGAAGCCAAGTGTTAAAGGAGAGACCACAAAGAACTCGGGAGGAATTTTCTTCAGGAGATGGAAAGGCTGTGAAAGGAGCAGTTAGAGAAGACCACTGAGAGGAGAGATTGCAGCGCCACATTGAAGGGATATTTGACATCAGTGCTGTCCCAAATGCAATGAGCTGTCTCAAAACATGCTAACCAGAAGCTAAATACAGCTACTTAGAAATGTTAAGGGGATTCTGCAACAGAAGGCTGGATTCTATCTTTGGGCTGTTTCCAACTCTAAAGATGGTATGACGTATTAGCATTCTTTTGAGGAAGACAATAGGTATCAAGGTGACCTTGGTATAAAAGTCTGTGTAAAAAAGAAAAGAAAGTCAGTATGAAGAATCTGAAAAAATTCCACAATGAAATAAAGAAACCAAACAACACACTAAAATGTGGGAGATAAAGATAAAATTTGGCTAGCTACTTGCACATTAGATGTTAACCACTTACTGACTCAGTGGAATAACTTTAAAAAAGGAGCTCTTGTGAGGGCCAGGTGTTTAATAACATTTTTTTTTGGTGAGAGTGCCAGAAGAAAGCTACTGTGATGGCTACAAGTGTGGAAGATACAAACTGCTGGAAAGAAGCTGGAGGTAAAGAGCCAAGGTCAAAGAGCCAGTCAACAGGAAGATCCTTCAAGCCCAAGGGCGCTGAGCAGGCAGACAAGAAGTAGGTGATGGGCGTATGGGAAAGTACGAGATAATGAATTTTAGGGGAAGTAATTCACAAAATCAAGGGCTCAGAGCATTCCAACCCAAAAAGAATCCACAGTGTGAGGGCCAAAATGGCCAAGAAAATAAAATGTTAGCTTATCATCGAGAAGGGTATCAGAAACCCTGTAACTAGACAATTTAGGAGATGGTAGCTAAAATGATCAGGGGCCAGGTAGGAGGAAATGTTGCTATAAACAGAATAAAAAGGCAAACTGAAAGGAGCTACGGCCAAAATCTAGATCCTCCAATAGAAGGGTAGAGATGTACTTCTTAGAAATACAAAGAAATAAGATTAGGATGACAAATTACTATCAACAGAGCCTGGAAGGAGGCACAGCACTGAATAAACACATATTCCTAGAAGGCTGGACATACTCATTAATCTCACAGTTGACATAAAAAGTTGATTAAAAGAAGGTGGCCTATACAAGGCAGCCACGCTCTCCCAAAACATGTCCTTAGAGACTGGACGGCCTCTTTTCTTAAGGCTGTACAGGTAGGAGTTGCTCTCCTGCTAAGAGGACAGCTCTCAGCTGGCTGATTGGAGCTAGCACAAAGCAGTACCACACAACTTCAGAGATGGTACCTTTCTTTCCTCTTGAATTACAAAACCAGATATTTTTTCCTGTCTTTTTTGGGCAAGTGGGTGGATGGGTATGATAAGGGTGGGAAAGGCAATGTGCAGGGAGGAAAAATATACTGGTGTTGACAGGCTATGGGATTGCAATCAGTCAGCTAAGATTAGCATGTAAGAGGAAACTTAAAATGTTCAAAAGGAAAGAGGCACTCAAAGGGTTGAAATGAGATTTTTCTTTGGTTAAGTTCCAAAGCTATTCCTTTTGGCTCTCTGTGACACACAAGCATGCTCAAAAATTTAGACTCTAGTACCAGCCGTGCAAGCAGAATGGTTAGGTACCAGTTCCTATTAGATGTGTAAAATTAATTAAACCCAAATCTCTAGACTTAAGGGCAAGAGCTGTCTACAAAAACCTCTTCCTCCTGATGAAGCCAGCTGCTGGGTTTCAATCCAGGTGGTTTCCAAACCGCCTCATAACATGACTGAGTCTTGTCTCCTTCTCCCGTTAAAAGGTTGTTGGCAAATGCAGGCCTCAGAGGAAGGGTGTGGCCTCAGTGGGAGATGCCCAGAGACTGCAGCAAGTGAAAGGTGGCCCCCAAGGCCCAGCCTGTCTCTATGTTGTTCACTTTCTTTGTGAGCTGTTGGGGAGGAGAGAAAAAAAGCCTTCACATTTTCATTCAATTTTCAATTATTTAGCAAGCACGACATGGGCAAAGATCACCCACATGGCCAAACCAAGGCAAATTGGAAGTAGCCAGTTGAGGCCTCCCCACAGCCCATTTCTGCAAGTTTCTTTCCTGTCGTGGCCTATTACCGGCCCCTTGCCAAGCTGATCCCTGAATCTTCTGCCCAGTAAGTGGTCTCACGCAGGCTTTCAATAGGACCTTTGGAACTCTTTAGGAGTTGGGAATAGAGTTAGAGGTATGAACGCACATACTAAAGCTTCCCCACTCATACTTTGTAAGTAACTGCTGCTTCTTAAGCACCATTAAACAGCTAAGATTTTTAAGGCATTCTAGGCCAGGTTGAGCCTCAATTAGTTCATGACCCCATGTTAGACTCCAATTTCTCAACTACATAAAAGGGATTCAGTTAGTATTCATCAAATTGTTTTCTTCAGAATCCTGAGGGTTCCTTGGAAGCGCTTTAGAGAGAAATGGGGGCTACCTGGTGAAGGAGTCCAGGCCCTGAACCTCTGCTTCAACCAGATACTCCACATACCGGTGTTCCTGGCATTCTGCATAAGCTTTTGTTGAGTAAAGACCACCACACACATACACACAAGTTTAGAAACCAGTGGATTTCTAGTACTCAGTTTTATGACACAATACTTTGTTGACCTGAGGAAATCCAATCTAGTCACTGTGCCAAACACTGGGAAAATGGCATGTGGATCATCTTGAGGTTTTGTCTGAGATACCCGAGTCAAACTGGGAGCATCCCCCAATCAAATGCTCTCCTCTGTTCTGAGGACTGGGCTGACAGCCTAAAGGCCTAGATGCTGAAGTGAAGCTATCTCGGGCAGGACTGTGAACCCGATTTAAATTGTGTTGCCACTGAAATCATAAAGAGCAAAAGGATGCCAGCACTGGAAATGGCAGAAACTTGTCCTTACGTGATTTGGTTATAGTTAATACTTAAGTAGAGAAAGTTGTTAACTCAGTACTATGTACTAAGGGCTTAGGATGACCTCTCCAATCCACAAATCTCTCCCCAACTGTCTATACTACTAGCGACACCAATACTAATAACTTACACTATGTGCCAGGTAATGTGTTTCACAGGCATTATCTCAATTTTCATAACAGTCTTATAAAAATGGAACTTGAAGGATACCTGTGCTTTGGGTGAGGAACCTAAAAGTTAGAGAGGAAGTAAATCATCTAAGGTCACAGAGCCAGCAAACTTGCAGAATCAGAACTTGAATCCAGATCTGACGGACAACAAAGCCCATGCTTTAAACACCACTATACTAATGATGTACTGGCAGGTAGCTCTTCTGTCTTAAGCACTTTAAATGCTGAAGCTCTTGGCAGGCAAAACACACGAAGTTCAAGTACCTTAGTACAAATGAGGTTATGGCATCTGTATAACCCAACAAATTGGATAATATAAACTCACCCGGAACTCATGAAACAGGAAGGGGCAATGGCACAAGGAAGAGGGAGGAGGCTCAAAAAGAATACAGTCTACGTACTAGACCCCTAAGTTCAAAGCTGCCTTGTGCCATCTCCTTTAATAGACATGATATCTGAGGACAAAGACTACATCTTACTCATCCTTGTAACTGTGGATGAAAAAGGGTCACATAGTAAACCTGACAAGCTCAAGGTGGTCTGAACGTAGAAAGTCCTAACGAAAAGTGGTCATGGTAGGTAGTCATGTCCTAGGCCTACAGCTTCCTTGAGAAAGGTCAACCTTTACCTTTGAAATTGTCTATTTTCTTTGTGCATCTAAGATAACATACCTTTGAAATGTCAGGGTAATTTTCTTTTCCAGACGCCTCGAAGGTGCAACCACCCGCACCAGAGCACAAGACCACACTGTTGTATTGTTGCCCACATGCCATTCGGTGTCCCGTAAATATTTACTATCCTGTACCCACCGACGTATAAGATGCATCTCTGTGTTTTACTTTTTATCTAATCTCAGAGATTTCTCCACTTTGCTTTCTCCCACCTCCCTAATCTACCACCAAATGGATTTCATGTAACCCCTTACATCTCCTTTGATTCTAATGTATAAAATAAACTGCAAACTGCCATTCTCTGGAGCATTTTCCCAATCCACTGAGATTTTGCTTCCCAGCAATGGTTGTCAGTTTGGCTCAAATAAACTCTTATAAGACTTTTTCTAATGCTGGACATTCTTTCATTGACATAAACATATGTGCAATTATTTAATTATTGTACTGAAAACCAGAAAATGGGATGGATAAAAGATATAAGATGTGTTTAGAATAAATAAATAAGTTACTACAATGTTGAGCCTGCCTATTCTGGAACAGATGGACAGAGACAGGAAGATAAAGGGGGACCCAAGATTCAAGAGGCACTAAATATACAAGACACATATCAAATATATATGGCATACTACATATACACAGGCATTCAACATTCATGAGGTCTTAAGCCACTTGTTTGTGACACCCTTCTGGTCCCTCATGTCCTCTGCCAAATAAGACCATCTATTGGGCTGAGTGAGCTAATATTACCAGATAATGTACTTGCCCCTATGCCTCTCCAAACAGTGGAAATCTGTGCAATGGCTCCAGGCACTTCTGTCCTTGTGCTCCCTTGATTAAACTTCAGGTCTAGTACTTGCAACCAACCACACTGTCAGCAGCAGAGGGAAGTAGGACATACATACCCAGAATTCAGGAAGTGTGGCACTTCCAACCTGCTTGCACCCTACACTGTGTGTTCACCTGTCCCATTTCTTTCCTGTTGCTTCTTGTCCTGAGTTTCAAAATTGATTTAATAAACCATGGGGCTTGGGCATCTTCATTTGGATGCAAGCCCTCTGCTCTGTGACCTCTAGGATAGCTTTCCTGATAACATACTTAGAAACTGCCTTTGCATCGAGGTAATTTCCCACACTCATAGTGTCTTGCACAGTGCTTGTCCATAGCCTGAATAAAAATCCTCATAATTCCACTATAGGCACTCTTAACTCTTTCCTCCCAACTCCCAAATAAGAAGTCTGTTATGAGATTCCTCTGCCCTCTCTCTTGCCTGTAAGACGGTGCTGTCTGCAAAGCCAAAGCCATCCTTCAACAAGGCTGTGATGTAGCTGAGATCCATGCACAGGAAAGGACTGCCTGAGGTGAAATTTTCCAAGTTGTCACACACTGAAGGGGAGAGAGAGTAAAGAGTGAAATTCAAGTTTGCAGCCAACTGAGAGGTGTGTAATTTTCTCTAAATATAGACTTGGAATAAGCAAAGCAGGATTCTCCACTTGGCTGATGCCTACGAGTCTTAGAGGCTAGAACTGTGCACTGACAGCCTCTACAAGACTGCAGCTTCTTAAGAACTTGCAGATTTCTGATGTGATATCTTATCTACTCAAATTTACATGGGCCCTTGTTTATTTGCTAAATTTCTATGTCTATTCTTTGGGCTTAATTCATCCACATTCCTTATATATTATTAATGCTGAAGCCCTGAGGACAGGGAAATACCAGTTAGCATTACTTTGGGGACACTGGATAAGATTATTTATGTTTTCAATGGACTCTTTCCAGGAAACCTCTGTGGCTATTTCCCATATATTCTGGTGTTTGATGTTTCATTAGCATTAATAACACTATTTCAACTAAAAAACACACACCAGAAATGTAGAAAAGCAGGTTTTCACCATCTTCTTGCCTCTTCTATTCTCAAATTTTTCTATGCCACTTATGCTTTAAGGTCCTGGCAAGGACAGAAAACCAGCCTCTGAGAGGCTTCCTGCTGGCTGTGGAACGTCGGGACACGTTAAGGTCCCTGGACTTTGTACAGCCTCTCAGAATCACTGTTAAGGGCTGCCACTGACACTTACCTTCCTTTGCTTTTCTTTCAAAGTCTTCAACTTTTAAAATACCCCCCTTTTCATAATCTGGAATGAAGCAGAAGAGTAGCTGATGTCAAAGAGTGTCAAAGAAACATAAGAAAATTCATCCTAGTGAGATTTGTAATAAAGAAAAACAGAAAATAAAATTCCCAACATTAGAGAACTGATTAAATATACGTAATATTCATACAAAATAATCTATGCAGTCTGTTTATTTATAATCTATTTTATATTATATGTATTTAACCACAATAAAAATTTGATTCATTTGCAAAAACACATTAGAAAATAGAAAATCAATTCATATCTCAGGCCATGAGAGATTCCATACATACATCATCATAACTAACCAAAAACATTACTACTGTGATAAAAAAAAGTTAAAAAGGGGAAGGAGGAAACTTTAGGGTAATATATATGGTTTTAAATATTGAATTTGGTAATGGTTTCAGGGGTGTATATGTATGTCAAAATTAGCAAAGTATACATTTTTCCATGTCACACGGGTATTGTGCTGATATAACAAGGTTTGAGGGAGGCACATCTCACAAAAGAGTGTGAACATCCAATCATCACGCTTATGAACTACCTGTACACTTTAAAATATGTAAATTTTATGCTGAATGGAATAAGTCAGGGGACAAAAACTGTATGATTTCACTTATATATGGACTCTAAAAAACAAAACAAATGAAACGAAACAGACTCGCCAAAACCGGTTTGGCTCAGTGGAGAGAGCGTCGGCCTGCGGACTGAAGGGTCCCGGGTTCGATTCTGGCCAAGGGCATGTACCTTGGTTGCGGGCACAGCCCCAGTGGGGAGTGTGCAGGAGGCAGCTGATTGATGTTTCTCTCTCATCGATGTTTCTAGCTCTCTATCTCTCTCCCTTCCTCTCTGTAAAAAATCAATAAAATATATTAAAAAACAAAAAACAAAAACAAAAAACGAAACAGACTCACAAATATAAAGAATAAACTGATGGCCCTGACCGGTTTGGCTCAATGGATGGAGCGTCGGCCTGCGGACTCAAGGGTCCCGGGTTCGATTCTGGCCAAGGGCATGTACCTTGGTTGCGGGCACATCCCCAGTGGGGAGTGTGCAGGAGGCAGCTGATTGATATTTCTCTCTCATCGATGTTTCTAACTCTCTATCCCTCTCCTTTCCTCTCTGTAAAAAATCAATAAAATATATTTAAAAAAAAAAAAAGCATAAACTGATGGCTGCCAGGGGGAGAGGGATGGAAGGATGGGCAAAAAAGGCAAAGGGGACTAAGAGGCACCAACCTCCAGTATAAAATAAATAGATCCCGGTATGTAATGTACAACACAGGGAATATAGTCAACAATATTGTAAGAACTTTGCACAGTGACAGATGGTTACTAGACTTACAGGGAGATCACTTTCTAAGATATATAAATAAATGCTGAGTCACTATTTTGTACACCTGAAACTAATATTATGTCAACCATCCTATCTAATAATAGAGAAACATGGTAATTAACCATAACTTCACTACCCTTCCCACTGGCTAATCAGCGTGATATGCAAAATAACTGCCAACCAAGATGGCAGCCGGCAGCCACACAGCTGAAGCGAACATGAGGCTTGCTTGCTCCAGTGATGGAGGAAGCCTATATAAAATACTATATTGCAGGAGTTACATAAGTTTTTCAAAAGTTAATAGCAGATCTACTATGGGAGTAATATTCTGAACTGAGTATATCTATATGTATAAAAGCCTAAGCGACCATTACAACTGGTCGACTAAATGGTCGACCAGTTACTATGACGCGCACTGACCACCATGGGGCTTGCTCTCAATGCAAAGGCTGCCCTCTGGTGGTCAGTGTGATCTCACAGGGGGGAGCTCTGCTCATCCACAAGCCAGGCTGATGGCTGCCAGTATAGCGGTGGTGGTGGGAGCCTCTCCTGCCTCCTCAGCAGCACTAAGGATGTCCGAGTGCAGCTTAGGTCTGCTTCCTGCTGGCAAGTGGGCATCCCCCGAGGGCTGCTGGGCTGCCAGAGGGCTGTCTGATTGCCATCTTAGGCCAAATCACCCCGGGGAGCAGGCCTAAGCCAGCAAGTGGTCACCCCCGAGGGGTCCCAGACTGCGAGAGGGCACAGGCCAGGCTGAGGGACCCCCTATCCCCGAGTGCACAAATTTTTGTGCACCGGGCCTCTAGTATTTTAATAAAAAATAAAGTATGAGCATTTTATTTTATGTCAATTACTAGGGGCCTGGTGCATAAAATTTGTGCACTGGGTGTGGGGGCGGGGGGAGTGTCCCTCAGCCCAGCCTGCCCCCTCTCACGTACTGGGAGCCCTCAGGCGTTGACCCCCCATCACCCTCCAGTCGCAGGATCGGCCCCTTGCCCAGGCCTGACGCCTCCGCCAGAGGTGTCAGGCTTTGACAGGGGACCCCCATCTCCCACCGATCACTGGCTCTGGTCCCCGCCCAGGCCTGAGGCCTCTGGCCCAGGAATCATGCCTGGGCAGGAGACCCCCATCTCCCTCTGATCGTTTGCTCCACTCCCCGCCCAAGCCTGACGCCTCTGACCCCGGCTTCAGGCCTGGGCAAGGGGACCCTCATATCCCCCCAATCCCCGGCTCCGCCCCCGACCCAGGCCTGATGCCTCTGGCCCAGGCATCAGGCCTGGGCAGGGGACCCCCCGCCCCCCCCCCC